CCTGGCAGTCTGCTGCATAGGGATGGTGACTCCTCTACCACCACGAGTCCCCTTTCTTCCTCATCTCCCTTAAATATTGCTGCAATTTGTGAATTTCAGTGCCCTTTTTCTTGAGGGACATAGATTGCTTGAGGGAGGGGGAGGGAGCGGTCCCACAGCCCTACCCTTTGCTTTGCACAGTGTACATTCCATAGTGATTAGACAGGACTGGGGGTCACCAGGAAGAAGACTAGGGGTGGGGCCTGGGGTAGAAAGTGAAAAGGAGAAAGATGATGAGGTAGAACACTTTCAACTACATTTCCTCCAGCCATCCCTCAGGACGTCTGACCTGATCCCATCTCATGGCCACCTCTCTAGCTCCTTGACTTTCAGGAGACTACTGGAATAGGTGTTTATGATGTCAGTCCTGCATCTGTATTTTCCCAACACCTTCTTGTTGGCATGCTTGATGTGCTTTTGTTGTTTTCTTCACAATTGAGGTGACTACAACCCATATCAAAGAGGCAGGATGGACAAACTTCTTACTCTTGTCTATTTGCCATGGTTCCTGGCTGTACAAACCACTTGGAAAAATTTCAAAAGGACTATGTGCCAGCCGTAGGGAAAGAGGGAAATGGAATGGTCTTTGAGACATTCTGCATTGGGAATTCGAGTCTGGGCTTTAGTCCCAGCTCTACCATCTACAAGCTATTGACTTTGAATGTCAGTAATGTCAAAAGCAATTGCCAGTATTGAACAACTTCTTTGTGTCAGCATGGAGCAAGATGACTTATGTACATTATCTGATGCCTCTAAGTTTCAATTTTCTGAGAGTATTATGTTCAGAAATTACCTCACAGGTCTATCACGAGAACCACATGAAAAAACCAAGTTAGAAAAGGATTTCTAAACTAGAAAGTCTTCTATAAATATGTTATAATGACTTAAGAGTTAAAATTTTTCCTTTCAGATTTAAGTTGAAAAGTTTCAACCTAACTGAAATTTAAAAGCTTCTACTTTCTTCCACTGTAGACATGTGAATGGTCCAGTCAAGTCTGTCCTTATAAGAAAGGTTGGAATTGGTATGATTTGCTATATGGGTAGATGATAGAGGCAAAATCTTGATGCAATTTACACAGTAGAAAAGAAACCCTGCAGTAGAGTAGTAAGAAAAATTATTTAAAGTTTTTTCCACTTTTTTCAATATTTCTTGTTTAATTCAATACCTTGTCTTAATTCACTCTTTGGTCTGTGTAAAACATAGGTCTACTGATCTCATTTTTGCCTTAACTGACCAGCCAATCCTATAAAACAAACCTTTCTTTTTTCCCATTCAATCAAGAATTGGTTAAACTGTTCATTTGTTGCTTTCACATTTTCCATATTTAGCCCAAGATTTCATGAAGTAACAAATAATTATAAGAATATTTAGCGAGCACTTAGGTGTGCCAGATCCTATGCTTTATTTTTCACAGCACCTTTATTAAAAAAAATCCTCTTATTACTCCCACTTCATAAATAATGCAACTATGGCTCAGAAAGCTAAATAACTTGTCCAGTGTTAAATTGCCAGTAGTGGTAGAGTAGGATTCAAACCCTAGTGAAACAACCCACTTTGGTTCCAATGAACCCAATTAACTAGCCATTTCCAGCAAATGTAGTTAAACATTTGAATTACCTGGGATGATCTCATTATATAATTTTGTCCTCGGACATAGGTCAAATTACTTTGAGATACACCATCCAAGTGTTTAAAGTTATTTTAATGGTAAGTAGGTTAAACAAATTTGAAATGCAAGACTTGTTTTTCCAGGCCATAGTTCCTTTGTAAATAATTCATTATTCATTCAGCAGCTATGTTCAGTGCTACCAGTCAGGGCATTGTGGGAGATAGAAATACAGAGCACAGTCTAGTGAGAGAGAAGCGTCATGTTTGAAGGGTGTAAACAGACTGCTGTTGGCATTTAAAAAAGGGAAAAATGTATCCTATCGGGGATGGATCAGAAAAGACTTCATGAAGTCCCTCCACCCAAAATGTTCTTTCCCCCAGACACTCGATGGCTCATTTCCTCATCTCTTCCAGGTTATGGCTAAATGTTACCTACTTATCAGGCTTTCTCTGACAACCCCACTTAAAACACTTACAGCACTTACCACCTATTGGCATATTACGTGCTTATTTATTGGTTCCCTGTCTCCCTAAATTAAAATGCAAGCTGTACAAGGGCAGGGCCTTTTGGCTCTTTTTTTTTTTTTTTTTTCCTTTTGGCTCTTTTGACCATTGATGTAAATCTTATCTAAGAACAATGCCTAATACAAAGTAGGGAAACACTATATATTTGTTCAACAGATGGAGAAAATAAGACTTAAGCTTGGCCTGAATAATGGATAGCATTTAGCTGGGCATTGTTGGAAGGAAGAATTCCAGGTGAAGGAAATGATTTAAGCAAAGAATGGAGGCAGCAAATTACATAGTCTGTTTGTAGAGCTGGGTGCAGGTCAATTTGGTTAAAATACAGAAATGCAAAAAAAAAAAAAAATACAGAAATGCAGTGGGACATAGTCTGGAGGGATCTGTGTTATGTAGACCTGAGGGATTGACATAATTTCACAGGCAGATGGAGCCCTTGAGATTAGGAGTCTTGAAATCTCCTTATTTAATATTTAGTAATTAAACAATCATTCCAGGTAATTCAAATGTAGGTAGGGGTAGACCCAAGGTGTGTGGATCCTGAAGCTAATATAATTTTAGACCCTGGTGAAACAGCCCACTTTGATTCAATTAACTAGCCATTTTAGCAAATGTAGTTTGACATTTGAAAAAAAGAACATAAAGAAGAAAAAAAATACATAGAAGAAGATGAATGCTAAAGTAGAAATGATCTCTGGCTTTGCCCCTTTTATGTAACAATGCTGAGTTAGAGCAGTGGGTGGTAGGAGTCTTCCCAGCAGCCCTTCCTTCTCCCGGTAGCCACCAATAACCTAATTACACATGGAAGTGATTACAAGCTACATAAATATATTCTGCCAGACCCAACGTCCCTTAACTAAATCTCAGAAGTGCCTGTAGCCACTCGGATGCTGCTGAACGAGAAGAGATGGATGATGGCGGTGAAGATGGAGACCCAGACTGTGACTGACAAATTGTGGCTGAAATATCAGTGATCATGGGAACTCATTTCTAGGACCTTGGAAGAAGACAGAACAAATGAGGGACCCTGAAGTTTTATTGGCTTCATGGTTAAGCTGCCTCTGGAACTCTGTTAAAGGGAATACAATGAATTGGAGGGAAGATTAGGGGAGTTCTGGATATAGGTGATAAGGTGACGGTTGGCATGAGAGTTGGGAGAGGCGCATGTGAGGCAGGATACAAAGACACCATGGCCATTGAACCAAAGGAAAGAAAGGTCAAAGGTGTCTGAAGTCTTACCTCAGGATACAAGGTAGTATCTGGGAGTGAACTGTTCTTAAAGCTGAGAATTTCTCCGTACATTAAATGCTCTTTTGTTTTAGGTTTGAATACCCTACGTTTATTAGTTTACCAATGCTCAAATGATCACATCTTTGGCCAGTGAGAGTGTCTTTGGGGTGGCTTCCAGGTCTTCTGACACGACCTTTGTATTTTTTGGTAGCTTCCCTTCTTTCTGGTTAGATGGGATGTTCTAGGCTTATGTACTTGCTGTGCCCTACCTGGAACCTACCAATTCTCCAATAAGTACCAGGTTCTTTTAGTGAGAAACTGTGTTTTCAAGCCATATCTGGTGCTCGGGATGCTCAGGCCACTGGCTCAATCTTTGTTTCTAGGCCTTGTCGATGGACAGAATCAAAAAAGGTATATGTGTATGTATATATGTGCAGGTCAGTTTGGTTAAAATACAGAAATGCAGTGTATATATACACACACATATTTTGCATCTTAGGCTCATTAGATTTCATTAGAAGAAACTGCTCACTGTTTTAAATTTGCTCTATCATCCTTTAAGCAATGAAAGCAGTAAGCTTTTACATGGGGTATTTGTGACATGAATTAGTGCAGCTTCCCCAGGCAACTTATTTATAAAGAGAAATAAACGTAAATACCAGGAGAATTTGGTTGACAAATTAGTAGTTCAGTAAGTGGAAACTCAGCTTTAGCATTTTTGAGCTGTTAGGCTTTAGAATATAAAATGACCATGCTGCATTAGAATGACCTTTTTGAAGTTTGCAATATTTTTATTAGAGAAAGCACTGAATAGCCAGTAATGTTCTAATTCCACAGCCACAAACAATGACAACTATAGTTTATTTATGATGACATTGTGGCATATAAAGAAAATTTCTCATGCTTTAATAATTTACTATAAAATTGAAAATATAATTATACAGAACAGAAAATTAAAAAAAATCCTATTCAGTTGTGAAAATCCTTCAGTTGACTTTGCTTTTGAGCAAGAGTATACTTTAAAAACAAACAAACAACTAAGTTTGGGTTATATAGAACTTACAATCTAAAAGTCTCCTTCATCCCCAACATAAACTGTAGATATAAATGCATTACTTTGGTGATTCACCCTCAAATAGATTTTGTTTACTTATATTTGAAATGCCTCACCTTTAATTTAACAGTATTACTAAAAACTGTTAAATATCTAATAAAGAAGTTTAGTGAAAACACTTTTCATGTCATGGGTAAATTTTGGTAAAAAAAAAAAAAACCCACAAAAAACTCAAAATGGTCATAGGCATTGCCTTTTACAAGAGAAGCAAAAGAAAAAAAAAATTCAGCTTTCAGTGCTGTAGAACTAATGATTTCTACTCTGGGTATGAAACAGGAAAATAGATTTCCTCTTTTATGCCAATTCCAATAAATTGAGAGCGGCTTCTGGAGCACTGTGTTGGGATGGATTCTGAGACCGCTTCCGGTCTCTGTGGGAAGGAAGCTGTGATCAATAAGGAATGCGGAGTCACAGCATGTGTGCGATGCATTTGGTATCCATGATAAAACAGCATTTTAAAAAACCCAGTAAACATCACAGTCTTACCAGATAAGCCACCCACGTCCATCTTCTTCAGGTTCTTTGCCTCCAGAATGACAACAGTCAGCTTGCCGGCAGTCGGTACGTAGCGAAGGGAGAAGCAAATATCACCCAATTTCTCTTGCTGTGAAGACCAATAAGAGACCATAAGTAACTTTCTGAATAAAGGTGAATATAGTTTGTACACATACATTGCAAATTCCTCAGGAAGAGGATTAGGACAATTAGAATGTGAAAGCTCTTAGGTTCATTGGCGTTTACCCAGTGGTCTTTCATTGACTGAGGTATGAAGAGTGATTGTAACCCATTTCGGTTTTAATAGCTCATCTATACTTTGTCATTAATCAAAATATATCCATAATTCAACAGTTCAGGAAATGAGATCGAGATGACTTTTTTAGAAACTCTACTCTGAATAGCACTGCAACGTTCTTGGCAAAATTTCATAACTTTATCAAATAGCTTTGAAAAGAGCCTAACACTCCTTTAGTAGAATCAACCTGCCTAAATTTTTGTCTTTTTACATTTCAAATAAGATTATGTATAATACTTCATATGTAGATTTTTGGGAGAAGGACTTGTATTTACATTAGACTGAATTTTTTTAAAGAGTTTTTAAAGACTCAGCTCTTTTATTTTTATTTACATTTAAGTAAGCTCTACACCCAACGTGGGGCTTGAACTCACAACCCTGAGATCAAGAGTCGCATGCTCTACCAGCTGAGCGGGCTGGGTGCCCCGGAATGAATTGTTAATGAGAAATTGTGAATTTCTAGTAGCCGAAAGGCAACAAGAAGTTTTTGCCATTTCAGTTTTACTCAAGTGAGATCCAACTTTTCCCCCTTATTCTAATATTTGTACAAATCTAAGCAGTAGGTTGGAAAATGGAAATATACAGTAATACAGCACATGTCCTAGCCCCTCCCGCTGTTTCATGGGTTTCCTATTTCAGGCCCAAGGAACATTCACCAATCCTGTATCTCTGGCATTTCTGAACATTTCATTCAGAGTTTAAAATGATGGTATAGAGAGCTTTGACTTTTTTTCAGAAAGAACTATGGGTTCTCATACCTTAAGCGTCTTAATTTTTAGGATAACTAATTAAGAACCATGGTATTGTTTAACATGAGAATTTGAATTCACATAAGCATGAGAGTGGGCGGGAGCCTGGCGGTATCTAGATGGCTTTCTGATACAGGGAATTAGGGATATGGCAAATTAGGGTTTATTTCTTAGGACATGCTCTCCCCTCACCCCCCAAAGTGAATTCTGATTCCAAAGATGATGGTTGTGTCAGACTTCTGCAGATAGGCTCAAGGTAAGAATAAGGTACAGAAGGCCTTCTCATGTTATGTTCTTATTAGAACTGTATTTGGCCTTATCTATAACTTCATGTATGTGTTAAATCAGCCTGAGTCTCCAGTGTGGAGATAATCGCCTAGATGTAATTGAACAATTTAAGAAAATACAATTCTTTTTACTGGGTACTGGTTCTAGCCATCTATAAAGGAAACGGTATGGGGCACCTGGATGGTGCTGTTGGTTAAGTATCTGACTCTTGGTTTCGGCTCAGGTTGTGATCTCAGGGTCATGAGGTCCAGCCCCCTGCAGGGCTCCAAGCTCAGTGGGGAGTCTGCTTGGCACTCTCTCCCCCCACTTCTGCCCCTCCGCCGCCCCACACATGCGCGTGCCCGTTCTCTCTCAAATAAATCTTTTTTTTTAAAAAAATGGGTGTCTACTTGTTTTGATTTATCTATAGGTGAGAAGTAATCATTCTGTGTGTGTGTGTTGGTGGGGGGAGAGGGAGAGGTACAGATTTTCTGCTTAAGTAATGCTTTATTGAAAACATCACCCTACATGTTTATAACCCCCAGTTCTTTGATTCCTTGAGTCTTCCTAGCATCTTACCCATATATCTCTTAGGTCACTAAAGACTCTATTTTGTTTTATTGTGCACATGTCTCCATTTTCCAACATGACTCCTTGAAGACTGGTCCTTGGCTGATTTATCACTTTCTATGCATTCTCAAAAAGTAAATAAATGAAAAATTTGGATAATATCCCTATCTTGAACTATCTAGGTCCTATCTCCCTTCCTTTAGTGTAGATAACAGTTACTTCTAATGTGCTCAATTCACCCAAAGTGCCTACTTACTCCCCCGAATTTGCACATGAGGAGAATCTAGTAGAATGCATTCCTTTTCATAGTCTTTGAAAATTACAGAATGGGAATCAAGATCATAGAAATTAATAAAAGTATGGACAAATTCATCTGAACCTTATAAATGTAAGTGAACAAAATTGCAGTTCAAGAATATTCACTGGGAGGAGGGTTCTTTTTGCAGGATTCTGTCTTTTTGCCACAATACCCTCCCTGGGGAACTCAGTTTGTTGCAGAACCAGGTTACTCTAACTGTTCTAGTTAGGCATTTTAGATATGACTGTTCTCTTTTAAATGGCCCCTCTCAATAGCCCACTATCTAAATCTACAATTTAGGGCATCTCAGTTGTTTTAAAGAAACATCACAACTTTCTTCTAATACTTTTTTATTATTCAATCCTGTGATCTACAGGGAATTTTTGAGATTTTGCATAATCTCTAGCTTCAGAAGGGTACAGTTATAGAGTTTGAACCTATAATGCCTCAGGTAGGAGAAATATGTGAAGTTACCTGTAATTATAAAGCTATGGGATGGAGGAAGAATGAGTTGGGGGAGGGGGAGGGTGAATCAAAATGGATGTTTTAGGAGAAAGAAAAATATGGAAAAGTGCTTATTAACACCATTTTCAGATTTACATTTATATTTAACTCCTTAATTTAGAAACTTGAATGTATAAAATTTCATATGCTTATTAAATTATAACTGATAGCCAAATTAAGCATGTCTTTTTATACTAATCAACTGAAGTTACTTTACAGTGTTTGAAAATCTTATTACTTCTGTATCTGTAAGCCACTTGAAAGCTAGTCACTATTCTGGAATTTGTGTTCTTTATGGCATCCAGCAGATAGAAACTCATTCTCTAGAAAAAGGCAAATATCCAATTCATATGAACCTTTATCTTAGTTATATTTTTTGAGTTGTCACTATCTGAGGTATAAGTATATGCTTTTTCTAATTCTTTAAAAAATAGCTTTAGTAATTTTCTAAAACAAAATTTCAGAATTGGGACAACTTCTGTTACATGCTGGTTTGACTCTTGATTAGATGTAGGACATTTCCAAATAGGATTGCAATGTGTTTTTCATATGTGGTGGATGAGGTGGGAACCTGAAGTTCATGTGAAGCAAAGAAGAGCTAGGATATGCATCATGGGGAGGCTGTGAAGCCATCCTCAGAAGGACATGCCTGGTGCTTCTGCTGACCCCTCCTGAAGATGGGTTCTATTTGGCCATAGCTGAAACAAGGCTTAGGTCTGAGGCTTACTTCGTAAGTGTGTGTTCTTACTTCAGGATCTTAGATTGAGGGGCTCATACTAGTATGAGTTGTGGGACAACAAGTAGTTTCTTTTCCTCTATGAAATCTTTACTGAACTTCTATGATTGGACGGAGGTGTGCTCTTGTTCCTGGAGTCTTGTTCTCGCGTACAAAGGTTTTACTCTATCTCTTGTCACTTACACAGAAGAATTGGAATTGTATGAGAGTTTTATGGACAGTTTCACATCAATCTCTTATTTCATAATTTTCACATGCCAAGCATTTTTATATATCACTTTAAAGTTGGAGAAACCAAGATTTTCTACATTAAGAAAAAATAAGCTTTCTTTAGTGGGGTTATGGTGCTGGGAAATAGAAGTGGTTCTTGGAAAACTTACATAGAAAGATGATCCACCAATCTATATCTCAGCTCCTTACTTCTTGACAGTTCCATCTTGTTTTCCCTACAACAGCCCTGTGAAGTAGGTACTGTTTTGCTCCTTTTACACATGAAGAGTTTGAGACTCAGAGGTTACCTAGAGTTACATAGCCTCTCAGTGTAGACCTCTGCAAGGTCCTTTGACTCAAAATAATGAGTTTTCTTTACTCTCAGACTACCATCTAGAATGACAAACTAATACTCCAACTGACCACGCACTTAGATATTCCACTCTCACTTTACATTCATACTGTCTAACTAAATGGATGTTTATCACCAAATCTTCCCCTTGCCTGTTCTTTCTGACCTCACTTTCAGTCAGGGTCACTAAGTAATCCGCTTCCAGTGACCAGTGTTTCTTCTGTTTTCCTTTAGTCCTTCAGCCCACAAATCTTGACATTTCTTTCTTTGTCAATGTCTCTCGATTTTTTTTTTAATTTTTAAATTTTACTTAATTTTCCCGTCCTTGTCAACATGACCTCTACCCTCCTCCCTCCTCCCTCCAATATGACCTCCAACTCTACTGTGATATTTCACTGTCACCATCACTATCACCACTGCCATCCCTTCTGCCTTCATTCTGTTTGAGATCAAGCTCCAAACACTTCCGTCATCTTTTTCCTGCAGCAGTCTGATGGAGGATCTCATGAATCATAGTCTCTCCAAAGTCCAGTGTAGACTGTATACTAAAGCCAGGCTAATCTTTGAAAGTCTAAACCCATTTTCCTGACTTTGAAGAAGCTCTGTACTTTGTCTCTGCCCTATCTAAATAGGCTTCTTCTACTTTACTATCTGTTCAACCTTCAGAATATATTTTGAATCTGACCTCACCTCCCTACTTAAAGGCCTTTACTCTAGTACAGGTAGGGAGACCAACCCTGCTGATCTGCAAAAGACCATTGTTTTTTAGCCCTAAATGTCCTGTATGCCCTGAGAAACCTCACTCCCGGGCAAACTGTAATGATTCATAACCTTAAGCCCAAGTTCTCATTGTTGACCTAGACCTCTGCAGTGACCTCCTAATAGCCTCTCTGCTTCCACTCTTGCTCCTTTTTAGACTCTTTCTCACTACTTAAAGTCCTACTTAAAGCCCTTCCACGTCTTCCCATTTGACTTAGAATGATCTGTATTCTTTAAACAAAAAAACCTATGTGGTCTGACCCCTTACCTACTACTGTGCTCCTGATCTTTCTCTTTTCAAGACATGCCAGGCACATTTCTACCCCAGGGCCTTTGCCTTGGCTGTTCCTTTTGTCTGCAATATTC